TATAACAAAGAATCATGTAAAAATGCACTAAATTACTTGAGACGTAATAATATTTATTATAATGATGTTACGCTAAATAAAAGTTGGATAGAAGAACAAGATAAACAAGATATTGAATCTAATAATACAGAAAAAAATATAGAATCTAATGATACAGTTGATAGTGATGATGATTTACCATTGATTGATGATTATGTAGGTTGTTATTCTGTTGAATCTTCAGGTGGTACATGTTTACAACCAGTTGATGCTACTGCTGAAGTATTAAATAGTTCTGATAAAATATTTTCTGTATCTCCAAGTGAAAATAATCAGCCAGTTAGATTGTTAATGGATAAGTCAAATGAAGCTTGCTCTTTTCCTTATTTGTTCCCCAAAGGTAAAAATACTTATTTTGAAAATAGAGATGTAAGAATAACACTAGGTAAATATTTAAAGACGAGATTAATGTCTGTAGACACGCGTTTTGCGTCATGCTCAGATTATTTATTTTATGGTCAATATATTTATGAATTACAACAAATAATCTCAGGTACATCTATTGCTTTAAGACAAGGTAGAATGGGAGGAAATATGATAACAGCTGATATGTTAACTCAAGATAACTTCAAAATATTCTCAATTCTTGATTTCTGATCATTTATGTTTTTTATTTATGTAAATTGTACTCTGAGATAATCTAATCCTCCTGAATTATTACTCAGATATAATCAACATCTAATCCAATATTTCTATAATCCTCAATTGATCAAAGATATGACTCAACTAATTAAGAAATCAAAAATAATCCTAATCCTCAACTGACCAAAGATATGACATGATTCACTCAATAATTTTTAGAAAATCAAAAACCTGTATTAACTGACTACTATATAAATCGCAAATTCAATCTCATTTCATAACCATTCCTCGACACTTGAAAAAGGATAATATTTCGAAAACCGGTTCGTGTCAATTACGTAAGTTTTTGTTTTACTTGTTATAATCTTTCACATCATTGTTAGCGTTATTTATCACCTAAATATATATTTTTGCATTTTTCATCATAACTTTCATCTTACTTTATATATCCCCAAACCCAGTTTGACTTATTTGCATAATTTGATCCCCACATTTTCACGCTAGCATATACAGTTTCCTCCTGTTACATCAGCTGTACATTCCCTTTCTAACCTCAAGTTATTTTCATTATGCTCCCCAACTACAACAACCACTGGCAAGAAGCCAGACATAGAAACACTAATCGTCAACCAAACCAATATCACGTACCCTACAACGGCCCTGTCTTCCATCGACCTCTGCCACCTACCAATCGCCGACCACCAACCAACCCATCCAGCTATATCCCACCCCATCGCCGACCTACCCACAACACCTACCAATCAAGAGGTAACCATCGACCTGCCCAACAACAGAAACGACTACCAGCCCACCGACGCCAACCAGTCCTCACTCATAAGGAGGAAGAACCCTTTGTGAAGGTGTTCTTCCAAGTTTTGCAGTGCCTCCATCATTTGGCAATCCTTACCCTTCAACAGCAAGGCCAACCAGCGTTTACCTTCAAACGCAAAGTCTCTGAGTTGGATAGTTTTTATCCGTCCAGCAATGAAAACATCAGCTGTTGACGCGAATATTAGATCCCTCAATCGGACATGGCTCTCTAAGGTTACGCAGGTCCTGATCGACCATTACCAAACCACACTCCAAGAGAAGCTGACCACCATTCGTATCAAGTCTTTATCATCAGCTGCGGTCGACTGCATCGTTTCTCATGCCCTGTCCTGGGCCCGTCGCTCCTATGGGAAACGTCTCACTCAAGCTGTAATCACCAAGTTCTACCAAACAATCAACGAAACAAAAACCAGAGTAACCATATCTCTACCAACTGAAATGGACACTACACCTGCACCATCTAGAGCCACGACGCTGCCGAACCAAACCCCTAAACGAGCCCTAAGTTCACCTACTCCTAGTCCAGCAGACATACGTAAACGCTCTCGTAGAGAGGGCACTCCCCTTCTCTTTTCACTTTCAGACTAGTCTTCCCCTTCCGCACCATTTGAAACTTCACCACGTGATCCAGGATCCGCCAACCTTTCTTCCTTCTGTGCGTTTTTGGACCAGCAAACCACCCCTCAGTCTCCATCGAAGTCGAGACGTATATCCAGACCTTCCCCCCCTCGAACCAGATCCCAGTCCGTTCCCAATGCTACAATTCTAACAACTACCAAACCAGTACCAATCACACCGTCGACGACCATTATATCCGCTACCAAACCGTATTATCACCAAACCAAGGACAAATCATTATGGAAGCTACCCGCTCTAAAGAAATCTACCTTAATTATTGGATCATCTAACCTGAATCGAATTACCAAAACCAGTTCAGACACTGAAATACATTCTTACCCCGGTGCCCAAATCCATCACATACAGTCAATCCTGGAATCATACGACCATGATCACAAACCTACTACCATTATTCTTCATGTAGGCCTCAACAACCGTGATCAGCTACCAAAGA